GGGCCAACAACCTGGTGGGACCCTGCTCGCTCTCCTGCCTCCGACCCTGACCATGCAACCCGCAATGCGGTTTCCCGCCTGCTGTGCAGCCAAGTTCTGTGAGGTTCGGGTGCCCGCCCTGTCGTGTGAGCACTGCGAGCTGCTGCGGCATGACACGCGGTCCTGTGGTCATCATTGGGAAGAGTAGTATCAGTTTTGTATATTTCTATTTCTGTTATTAGTAGTATTAGCTTTAATATTATCTATACTGTTTTTTCACTGTTACTGTTTTATTAAAGTTTGTTTTAAGTTCCAATCCATCAGTCTCTCTCCCTTTTCTCCTCTCCTTCCCCTTCTGGTAAAGGACGGGGTTAACAGAGAGCATCTGCCACCCGCTGTAAGTGCCGGCCCAGCCTTAAACGGTGACAGAGACAAACATTTAAGTTCCCATTACAGCCAATAGAAATTTTATCAATACAAGCTATGGAGACTAGAGTGATTAATTTGATCAAATTTAGGACTATACGGTATGAGACAAATCATTCTGTTCTCCACAGCCTGTATTGACTAGATTTCTACAGACTGTAATGGAAGTTCAGACACCTGACTCACACATAAGCACTCACATTCATGGACACCTGAAGTTAAGCATGACAAATCTCACTTTGATGAGACTCATGACACTATACAGTGCCTCTTTTAGTGTCAATGTGCCCTATCACCTGCTCTCTCACTCAAGCGGAAGACAGAAAAGAAAGCTAACAACTGACATAGTAAGCACTTCAAAGGCTGGCAATTCTATTAACCAACACTATTTGAAGATGCAGTTGAAACTACAAGACGAAACTGAAAAAGCCCTAAAATGTCTATGCAAGCTACTTAACTTCAATTTAGCAAAATTTTTTTTAAAAAGTCAATAACAGAAATGAGTGTCAATTTTTCTTTTTTTTTTCACGAGAAAAAAAAAACAGGGAAAGAAAAAAAACAGATCATACAAGTAGAATCTTATTTTCATTTCAGCCAGCCAGCTTCTGAAAACACCAGGTATGTTTTCACAGCTAGAGACATCCCTGCAATTGATCTTTGAGAGCTGTGCTACAACACGAGGCTTTGAGCCAAGTTTCACTATATCTCCTCTTGGCTGCATTTCAAGTCACTCTGTAACCCTTTTCCCTTTTGCTCTTTCTTCCCCTCTTAATTTTGTTCTCAGGACCCAAAGGGCAAACATTTCACAGTAATTCAACAAAACATGCAATGCGAGAAACTTGAATCTGTGAAACCACTGCCCTCTCCCCTAATCTAACTTCAATGAGGTCAGAAGAGAGAACAGCCCAGAGAAATGTGGGGTTTGTACAGTGACCCTTCCCATTTCCCCTTGCAGTGAATCCAAGTTCAAATGCCCTAATAAAGGAATTGTCATACTGGGGGAAGGGAGAGCATCCTCTGTCCAGTTGTGTCCACAACCACTAGTTCCTACAGCAATTTTTAATTTTTTACTCCAGGCAATTCCAGTTCAACTGGAATTACTACTCTTGTTCCTAGGAAGATCTCAACCTTTACTAAAACATCAATTTATTTCAGTGTTGCCATGCAGCACTAAGTACCACAAGTTAACTGCATGACTGTTACAAATGTGTCTTTGTTATTCCACAGAGAGATGCTATTTAATTTATACACATAGTTCTTAATTTTGAATTATATTATACTAGCATGTGTTTAAGAAAAACAAACTAACATTCATCACTGTCTGCCCATTCCTATGCAATATATTGTTATGTGGTGGGTACTCATGATTACCAGCTGGTGACTTACTGGGAAGTACAGACTATACTGAGCTTGATGGGAATGCTGGATTCCCTTAATGGAAGGCAGACACATGACGCACAAACATGCCTTACTGGATTGAGATTGCTGAATTGACAGAAATCCCCACCCAGGAGCCTGTGGAATGTGGCAAGGGCCGGGGTATGTGCTCCCAGGGGCTTCTGTGGAAGAAGAGGAGGGAGTAGAGAAAGCAAGGAGGATGGGAGGACACACGTCCCAGCAGACAAGACAGCTATGGAAGCACAAGCAAGCCTAGAGCCTGCTGAAAGGGACTGGGCTTGTACGCACTGCTCAGAAACAAGCAGTGCTACACAGAGCAGGCACTTGACTCTCAGCAGTTCTTCCTTCTCATGGAAAAAAGCCCAAAAGCTCTAAAAACCTGCTGAGGATTTGGCACCAAAAAAAAAAAAAAAAAAAAAAAGTGACAATATGTACTGCTTCTAATCTTTATCTACACCCCAAAATTTCAGGGCTTTCAAATGTTTACTCCTCATCTGCAGACAATTTATTTTTCTACTTCCGATTTGCCATGCTTTTTTCTTTCTTTTTCTCCTATGTAATAAAAGATAACTACTCTCAGTAAAAGCAAGGGCTTCTCATTCTAATGTGCCTCCTTTCTGCACAGATAGGAGAGAGACCAGTAGACTTAATGAGCCTATATCCACAGCATCTTCCACAGAAAGGAGAGGACAAACATTTTCACTCAACGAAAAAGTCGAGACAGGATACTATAGAGTCTATAAACTAAAACCTGGAGAGTTTTCCAGTAGCTTCAGTGAATATTTCTCATATGGGAAAACCCAGAAATTTTTAAGCCCCTTAGAAATTCATCAGGATGTCTTCCATTTGGAGTCTTAACTACAAAATTATTTTATCTGATTAGCAAATTTTGTTAAAATACTATTTTTACTACCTCTCCATATTCTGTCTAAACGTACATCAGCTGCATGTTTGACCTATTTCTACGAGGCAAATATGAGTCTTTGTTGCTCTCTCTCAACTGTTCTCCATGCCCTCACACCCCTTTAGCAGCAGAGCATGCAACAACTTAATCTATCTTCAACACTTTAAATTGGTAAGTATTGCCACTGATTTCAAGGGAATGACCAGCAAGCACAGAGCTGCCTGATACATTAGCCATGATAGGATCATGGCTTTCATGAGGTAAAACAAACATAACCCATAACCTAGACAGATATTTAGCTCTTAACGCAGGAACAAATACTCTCAAACTGAATATGCATTCACATCTGCAGGTGAGTTTACCTCGGCTATATGCTGCCTTTTCTGTGTCTACTTTCTATGGAGTTATGCACTGAACCTCTACTGAAATCACTGTTTGCTGAAAAGCTGTTTCAGTTTGGCACAATGTTGTCTGTGGAAACTGAATCCTGTATTTATGCCCCTGAACATGTGAAGCTGATGTGAATATACACTTTTATAAAGACAAATGCACACAATTAATGTCTTTTTATAAAGACAAACGCACACATCTAATTTTTACTAACACTACACATATATTCATTTTACATATCAGCTGGGCCATTAAGAAAGTAAAATATTAGGCTATTTATAAGCATCAATTAATTTAAATGAGAAAATCTGAGAAGCTGCTTATTGGTACTCTGGATACAAAACCAAGGTAAAAGTTTCTTAGGAGTTACTGTACATGTAGAATACTTGCTCAGCATGCCTACACGTATCAGGCCCAGTTCTCAAAGGAATTGTTTCCATTCGGTGCATATGTAACTCCAGTGGTACTGGAGTGAAGCAGTGAATCAGGATTACCATAAATACTGGTACTCCATTGCCCTCACAGCTCAAAACTCTCTACAAGCTGCCAGAGCCCTGAGGTCACTCATAGAGCCCTAATGGCCCCAACCAGTCTCACCTGAGACCTCTACCCACACCCATGGACCCAGGAGCTCTGCTTAAGCTCTGCCAGGGACCTTCAACCTCTGCCTGAGCTGTGCTGTTGGAGAAGTGTTGGACCTTGTCCCTGGCCCACCATGGAGTCCCTTGGTCTAGACCTCAACGTGTGGATGGCTTCTGGCCTTGGCCCTCGTGCTATTAGACCTGCCTGGTGACCACTGAACCTCATCCTAACCCTGGCCTGCAGCTTGGCTTCCCAGCTGGCCCTCAAGCCTGCCTCATCACCATGGTATCACTTGTGATCTAGAGTCTTGGTTGGATCTGGCCAAAATCTCCAAGCTTGCCCCACTCCCTTCTTGGGGGTGGTGGGATGGGCCCTCGTTGGCAAGTTTCCCAGGACTCTCTGCTTTTTACAGCTCTGAAAAGATTTATCCAAACACTTGGCCTGACACTGAGAAAAATCCTGGCAAATAACTGATGCCTCATTCCTCTAGCTGCTTTACAAATTGTACAACAAAACTTCCTAACATACCACACCTTCTGGAAATGAATTTTAAAAGTACTTAAAAAAAAAAAACCAAACAAAAAAAAACACATTAAAAGCATCAGTACACTTCATGCATAACTTAAAATCAGGGTAGATGCAGGAAGGTCAGCTGTGAGCAAGCTAGTGAGTGAGAGGAAGGTGCAGGGCCAGTGAGAGTGAAGGGTGTTTCACAGAGGTAGGAAACAGTGGCAGAGGAACTATGACAGAAAAAGGCATCCTGCAGTAAACTCACAGGCACATACATCCCAGATTGCAGCTGAACTGGATGAAGCAGGAAAGGACAAGTAACCTGCTGGCTACAAAGGCAAAGCAACATAAGCCTGATGTTCCTTCAGAACTGTTACATACCAAAATTCAATCCTTCTAGGCTGCTAATATTTCAACTCATTGTAAGTATCACTTTCCATTTTGTAACTGCTTTTTTAGTGCACCCATTGTCTTAACACTGGTCATTTTCTCCTATAATTATGGAAGTAATTCTCATGGTTTTCTGTATTTCTCTGAAACTCCTGATTGGACTTTTATTCCATGTTAAACTTCAGATGAATAACGACTACTAACATTCGTAGTCCATCACCAAAAAAATCTATCCAAACTAAACTCTCTTCTTCTACACTCAGTCTCATTGTGTCCTGCCATGGACTGACCTCTCAGTTCAAGGAAATCAATAACTGTTACTCATGCTGGGACAGAGCTATGTAACAGCAGACAGAATCTACATTTGGTGGTGTTGGCTTTTTGGTTGGGCAACCTATTTTCAGAAATCAGTTTACAAAATAACAAAATGTTCTCCTCTGTGATGAAATGACAAATATTCATGGCTCTGAAACAGCAAGAAGTGTTCACATGTCCTGTGATACGGATCCTTTACATTTAGAGCTAGAAACACCAGGTCTGTGATGATCTGTTAATACATAAATGTGTGATGCAACTTCCCTTCAATGGAATCTCTTAATCTGAAGAAATGCCAGAGTTGGTGTTTAATTAAATCCCTTACTCAAAGTCATCATAAAGGTCACTGAATCTTGTTTTCATCCAACACCAATACAGGATACTAAATCATCCATACAGAAACACTGAAGTAAGCTGCAAGTGCATATTGTGAGGAAATGTATCCATATACATCTCTCAGAATGGATGATTACAGTACACCAAATTCTTATACCAACACCAGTCTTCTGCTAGCTAGCTTTTTGGCATGCCTCAGGAAACAACATAATGCACTGAAGAGTTGCAGTGTATCTGTATATATCCTAGTTTTATTTAAAGAAATAATTAATTCCTGTTAAAATTCCTAACACACACATTAGAAACATTAGGGTGCCTGTAAAATGGAATCAGAGGCCTGAACTTTACATTTTGAACTAGTGAAAAAACACCCAGCCTAGTGCCAAAGCAGTAGATGGTGAAATCAAAAAAATCTGAGCTGACTTGATCTGTTCAGGGTTTAATATATATACAAACAATTGAAAAAAAAACCCTGAAACCATACTAAAAGATATTTGAGTTCAAGGTGTATTATATTTATTGAATATAAAAGAAAGCCCTTGAAACTTCCCTTCATGTTATATAGATGTTTAATTCATTTAAGACAGAAAAAACCGAACTCACAGCATCAGTAACACAATGTGGTGAGGTTACTATATTTTGCTCTGAATTCCAGGTCTTGAGGCTGGGTGAGTTACAATTCAAACACACAGCAATCAATTTTCAAGGAGAATCAATTTTCAGGGTCTCAAGGGAGAGCAGTGCATTGATTCAGCACAATTCTCTGGTACTACCAGGAGCTCTCAGCTGGTTCGGAAGAGATGAAGCTAAGTGAAAGATGAAAGAGCCGCTGGAGACCCACAGCCTTGCTAATGGGAATACTGCTACTGTGCAGCAGTGGAGTTAAAGAGAGAGTGAAAGGGAAGAGAAAAACAAGGCAGGTAAAGGAGAAAATGTCCTGTGCAATACAGCTGAGCAGAAGAAATTAAAACAGAAAAGATAACTCACCTCTCCTCACGATTCTGCCCCACACAGACGCGTCCTCCATGTCGAGGGGTTGGATTGCTGCAGGAACGCTGACGAACTTGAAAGCCTATTCCACAAGTGGTACTACAAGGTGACCAAGAAGTCCATGGTGTCCAGCCTCCATTTCTGGTAGAATAAAAAGCTCAGGCTCTGTCATCTGTTATACATAGCGAATGGCTGATTAGGTGTGACTGACAGCAGAATCTGGCCCATTAATATTTCTGTAGAAGTCATTAATACTGCATCGTGTTCCATTTCTTTAAGAATACTAAACTGAAATAAAGGTGCTCTGATCCTTCCATATGCCACGCTTTGTAATCAGCAACTGCTAAAATAATACCATTACACAAGAAGTAAGGTACAAAGATACGAAGATATTTAGTTGCTTTTGGTCACTTTATTCTGAGTAAACTTCCTCTGCAAACCCATGTATCAAAGTTCTGAAGATAATTTTTATTATTTGTGGTCTTTTTTTCAAGTTCTGCTATATCTTCTGAAAGGAAAGTGATTAAAGCCTGGAGAAAAAGGAGGCTGAGGGGAGACCTGATCGCTCTCTACAACTACCTGAAAGGAGGCTGTAGCGAGGTGAGTGTCAGCCTCTTTTCCCAAGTAACAAGTGATAGGACAAGAGGAAATGGCCTCAGATGCGCCAGGGGAGGGTTAGACTGGATATTAGGAAAAATTTCTTCACCGAAAGGGTTGTCAAGCATTGGAACAGGTTGCCTGGGGAAGTGGCGGGAGTCACCATCCCTAGAGGTATTTAAAAGATGTGTACATGTTTTACTTGATTAGCAAATTTTGTTAAAATACTGTTTTTACTCCCTTCCATGTCCATGTTAGGGACATCATTTACTGGTGGACTTGGCAGTGTTAGGTTAACAGTTGGACTCAATGATCTTAATGGTCTTTCCCAATCTAAACGATCCTATGATTCTAAAGGAAAAAGAGTAATAAGTAAGTGTCAAAATGCATTAGTTTGCAATTTCAACAGGATACTCTGATAAGGTGCCAATACTTTATTTGTAATGTAACAAAAAAACTAACAGAATTCACATGCTGTACCCTGCATTTGTGAACTTTTGGAAAGGACACTCCTGTCTCTCTCCAATTTACCCTAGGAAAAAATATACTAAACCAGACATCTCAAAAGGAATTTCATATCCTGTCCTACGCAAAAAATGATGCACTTCAGCAGTTCCCAAAACCTTTTGATGGCTAGCTTGCAGTTTCTGTATTGGTAGAAGACAAAGAGAAATAAATAAAAATAAAAATAAACTATAATGCGTTGTTGAGGTTTCATCATAAAAGCAAAAGTTAAAATAGTGCCTTACCTGATTTTGAAATAACTTTTTTTAATGATGAAAACTAACTAAACCCAGTAATAAAAATGACATAAGATTATTCAAGTAATTTATCACAAATATTACCAATTTAATTTTCACTCATCTTGATGTCTTCTTATTACAAGGGATGTAAGAGTTGATAACACAGAGAAAAAACTTTTGAAAAAAATAATCAGCTATCACTGGTAACACAGAAAAAAAAATAAGATCTCTGTCAGTGCAATGTCTGACTTACGTAGTAAAACAAACAAAATGTCTGGACATCCATGAATTCTGGGAATCGGTTACTAATTTAGCAGTGTTAACAGAAGTAAGATGGTAAAATAGTAGTGTGATATGGCCAATGGTAGTACGTGAAACAAGTCCCAAATCATGTTATAAATTCCCTTCTAAACCTGAGAGCCAATAGCTGTTTGATTGTTCAGTATCTCACAGCATGCTTACATTTCCTATTGTTCTTCTGATCTGATATTGTACACTATACTGTTATGTTCTTAATAATTTCCCTAAAATGGACTATTTCCACTTACAGAGCTTGCAGTTATCCTGTGTAGAAGGAAAATCAGTTTTATTCACTACCATGATGTGCTTCTGATGTTTAAAAAAAGCAGAGACAAAAAGCAGAAAGAATCACTGAAAATAAGCAGAATGCAGCAGTACATAAGTTTCATCTTGCAATTAAAGTATGTATAATGTTTTACACATGAACTCCTAGCTGAGTTCAGAATATGCAGTGTTCTGAGTCTCTTTGAAACGATCCGGTCTCCCTAATTTTTCTGGGAGTGGTTATGTGCCTGAGGAAGACAGAAGAGCATCTGAAGAGTGGCATACAGAGTGGTAATAGATCCAGATGTTGTGATACAACCAAAATATATAACAAAAACATTTTTCCCAAGGCACAATGGGGGAATACAATGGTGACGTGAGATCTCCAAAAAAGTTAACAGTTCTGAATTACAGAAAAAAAAGTTTTACAACTTACGGAACTGAGAAAAAGTATCATACTTTGGATATTACCTAACATTGAATTTTTCTTTCTGAGCTTTTGTTAAAATTAGCTAAGGACAAAATTATTTGGTACAAAGCATTTGAAATCACTATTTGTCATCTGGCTCATTCTCTTTCCACAAAGTCTGACAGATGCTTTCTAATGTCTCATTTGCTGTGGCCATTTTTATGAGCTGTTTCAGAGGCACAGAACAGGATCAGCGGATTGCAGATGAGATTTCAAAGGGTAGGTTCTATTCTGATTAAGTTAAAAACTTTTAAACCATAAATGACAGAACCTGAAATTGTTTTGTGTACCTGGAACAGTTGGCAATCTCCATGGTTGGTCCTTCGCACAGCCAGCCTCCACACTGAGGAGCAGGACTGTCACACACACGTGTCCTGCAGAGGCAGGAGCCAACACTGGCACCATCAGTGTGGGTGCAAGGTTTCCACTGTGACCATGTTCCAAAATGCCCATCCACTGTCAGATTCCTCATCTAAAAACAAACACAACAGTAAGGGTTACCTGAAGCCTGACAGTTCCTGCATACAACCTGTTTAATTCCACAGTACATGGATATACGGCCTTCAGCCAGCGACAATAAAAGCCTCCACTGGAGAGGTATACCTTCCAGACAGCAAGCTTCCCTTATAATTTTTGTAGCTGCGTAATTCCCACCACCTCCAACCTATCTGAGCCATCAGATACCACCACTATAGCAATAACAATAATCACAACTAACCATTACCTTTCACAACCATGCTTGCCTACAGTGATTTAATAAAAAGCATAGTTTCACTTTCTAGATTATCTTCTGATGACAGTATTCCTTATTTCCTAAAATTTACCTGTAATTAGGAACCTGGATACTGACTGTAAATCAGCATGTGCAAGAATGCTTGTGGAAACCCAAATCTAGACCAAAAGGAAGAGGCAGCAGAGGATAATAGTCCAGGGTAACAAAACTGGATGAATCAAACTCAAATCTCCATCATGAGTGTCTTTTTTTTGACAGCAGTTTTTTGAAGAACATATCATACAGTACTGTTTCATAGAAGTGAAATGTGGGTTTAAATATGACACACACTACACATTAGATGTAATTATATGTATAAATCCTAAAAACATCTTCAAAAGCAGCACCTAATCCTACATGATGAGACAGTTTGCTTCCACTGAAGTCGATTCTCAACACCTTTGGCTGGAAGGGTCAGACCATTCTCACCTTGACTGGAATGTTTCCGTCATGCAGCCATAACACGTTAACAAGAAATCTTTACTGTCCAGCTGAAACAAAATATGCTAATAGAAATTGCAGCAGCCTGCATGGTTACTGGAAATTCTAAAGAAAATCAGGCTGGACACGGGGAATTCAGCTTTCTTAAAAAAGACAGGCTTTCATATTATTAATTCTTTTAGCAAGGTGTTAATCTTGACAAATCTCTACTCATAAATGGAAATGATGGCCACTTTTTCACTTAAATGCTAAAGGATTTGTCTTCTGATTGTCACATTTTAATTTTCAGTCAAAATAACAGTACTAACAAGTGCAGGCTAAATAGGGTTTAAAGTTACTCTTAAAAATAAATATGTATCAGTTGTAGTCATGCATATTTTATCAAATGTGTAAGAACATAACACTAACATTTGCTTATATATTGAAACAGGAACTACAGTTGTAGATTGTCATGAATGATCTGAAATGGTGTCTCCCTTTGCTATTTTTAGTATTGTTTCATTTTAACAGTGGTGAGGGAAATATACATTTCACCAATAATTTGAAGATACAAGAGATTTGATTACAGAACAAGACACGTTGCCACTGCCATATTGAGTGCTGGTTGATTCTTTCCACTGTGGTAATAATGGTTCCATAATTGAACTGTTAATTACATTTCTCATGATTTATTTTTCACAGATATGGCTTCTCCACAGAACAACTATGTGTATGTTCTGCCAGCTACAACTGACATAAACGTAATTCATAATTTCAAAATTCTGCTGACAGCTGTTTATTGAAAATAACTCCTTGACGTTTGCTCATGCAGAATATACTCTGTTGTTTTTCATAAGACAACAGGAAATACTTCTTAAGTGACAAGTAAATCCATTCTCTCTTACACTGCTGGTCTAACAAATACATAGTCCATAAACTAGCAATGATATGTCTCCAATCTAATTAATGTCAGAGATGGGAAAATGTCTTTACTGCTTTCTATTTCTATGCTGCACCAAAGCATCTTCATTGTTGCACCTACAATTATAAACTAAAGCTACAGTTGTCTATGGTTACCATAATTTATATCAAGTGGCAGGGAAAGTATTCATAAAACTTAGCTGAAAGCTTGAGCTCAGAAGGACATCCTGATGGTAGGTTTCTCTTCTTTGATTTTTTTCCCCCTACTCCTGTATAGATCATCCCACTGCAGTCTCTGCTGTTCCCCATGACTCACCTGCTCTGTCTCTCCGTGAATATCTCCCTTTCACAAGTGACACCAAACAATTTCACCATAGGACTACAGGAAATTAAAACGTATTGATGAGGGGCCCTTTTAATGCTCACCAGAACCTATGCCCATTAACCTTTCAGCATCTGACACACCTCAAGGGGAAAATGACAATCAGACATTATGGCTGTACTTTCCTGGCACAGCTACACTCTGCTTTCCCTCTATACCACCCTGTTTTTGTCACCCTTTCCCTTCTGCAGATACCTCTTGTCCCTTCTTCCTTCCTAATGTCCTCCAAATATCAGTCTTCTTTGTCTTGAGCCTCTCTTCACCCATCTGGTCTTCCTGGTTTGTGCCTCTGCACCCTGAGTCAAGGTCCCATCTTCAGTGACCCAGTCCTTAAATATGCCATGAGCTCTTTGGTTTGAGATTACTCTGTGTAGAATTCAGTGGCTCTCGAGTATTTCCTGAAGCTGCTAATGAATTCAGGTAAGATCCCATACTACAGTCTTTCCCTGCATGCAGCTGTAAAAAATAGCCATTTCATTTTGCATAGTTTATGTAAAAAAAAACAACAATTTTTTAAAAAATTATTTTTACTTTACTTATAAAAGTTTTTTGATAATGCCAGCGTATTTTTAAGTGATGGATTGTAAGAGGTCCCACTGGAAAATATTTTGGCAAAATAATGAATCTTCATTACTATAAAAAATATTGGATGAATAATAGGGATATCTAACCAACTGGAAGAAGCTCAAAGTACATATATGTACCATGGCGTTAATTACCACATACATTCATGCACAATTGGTGTACTCATGCCAACTGAAACAATAACCTAAAAAAACAGCTTGAGAACTAAAGCAAAGCAAGATAACCAAATAACCACTTTTGTCACAAATTATCTTCCAAGTTCAGAGAGACCATAACACAGATGCTCAGCTACCTCTTCTAGCCCCCTCTCTGCTCTATCATGATATGCCAATAAATACTCAGGTACATGAATAATTCCCTAGGAAATAATTTGTAAATTGCAACTGGTCACAATTTTAATTTTGGGTTAAACTAGTGTATAAACAGGCCTGTCTCTCTCTCTAGTCCGAGTTTATAAGAAACTGGAAGAAATCTGAAAAGTTTTCTATAGTGTTAAAAAGATCAGTGTAGTTTTGCTAACAGTTAAGACATTGGAACCAGTTGGAACCAAAAGAGGGACAGTAGAAGGTTTCTAATATTCTGTTATGTTCTGCCTGCAACATTATCATAAATGTATATAGCAAATGTCAAGGATGCACATAGCTCAGTTGCCTACAAAATGAAATTCATTACATCTTGGCTTATATATGCTGTGAATACAGCATATAAAAATGCTATAAAAACAAATATTTGAAAGCTTCGCTAAGCAAAATTGTAATCGATTGCAGTTTGCCAGAATACAGTGTTACTTTAAAGGAAAGTTTCTATGAAGTTTTCAAATTTGTCCAATAACGTGCTACTTAGAGTTCAGGGGTTTAAGACAGTAGAGTGGTAAACCCACACTTTTCAATTTAGACAGTTAATTCTAAAATTTTCCTTATATTATGCAGTCTCAATCTGCTCAACTCCAAAATTTCTTTGGAGGCTCACTAAATCTTTTCATCTCTGATATGCAGTATAAGGCTCACAGCTGTGAGATAGGCTGAATTTCTGAGCAATCCTTTGGTACTCCCCTGTTTTGACTGGACTGTGCAACTGTCATAGAATAGATACTAAATAATTGTTTTTCCAGTTGAATGGAACAGAAATGAATTCTGCTTTCTAAACCACTCCTCCCTCCCCTTCACCCCCTCTTGGCCTCATGTTTTTTATCTATGAAAGAAAATGAGGGCTAATGCCAGAATTCAAAGACTAAGCAATAAGCAGATGGGTCAGGCAAATATCGACTAACCAACCCATTTCAGTAATCCTTCCTAATACAGCAACCCAACTAGGCCACCAGCAAACTCTCCAACAACCACATTTAGCCCATGGGATTACCATGTAATTGCAAATGAATATACTGTACAGTACATCTAATTACTTGCCAATCAGGGAGGCAAGGACTGCACTAGTGACTGAATCCAGACTTTGTGAGACAATGGCTATGTCTACATTAGCAAGCGGTAGGCACGTAAACTGCAAATCTGGAAAATAAAACAGATGGTGTTGAAGACTTGACACGTACACTATATGTATTTCATGGGCTTTGCTTTGGACTCACTCTGGCCATGGATCAAATGCCTAGTGGTAGCTGGAGCATATTTTTGGTTTAATTTCATCTGAAAGTAATGTGGTTTGTGTGCTTCAAGACTGCTTTGTGTTGTGAACCAAAGAATAGTAGATGGTAAAAATCAGAGTACTCGCCTCATATTTGCTCCTGATTTGAGCTAAAATGCTAATGCAGATGAATCCAATGCAAGCCTTTTTTATTAGGCCACTGTGTGAGACCATGGATGCAAAGGACAAGACAATATATTGTTAAAAAGTTACTATTTGATGTCAAACTAATTTTGCACATCTCAAGTTCACTAAAAGCCCAGCTTAAGAGAGAGCAGTGTCAGTAAGATGTTAAAAGGAGCTTGTTAAATGCATGGAGAATAAAATATGGATGTTGTATGAGCACAAATTCATAGATGCATGCGCTCCAGTGGTGAGTGGGGACAAGTTCAAGAAGACCTTGTTAGTAATGAAAGCAGAACTGAGTTGGAAAGGGTCCCTCTTCATGGGTAGAAGGCAAAGACAAAGTAGCATGAGTCTGCAAAGGAAAGAGCTTAGTAGCACAAGGAAGATCCTTCTTAACCCCCTTTTTGTGCTCTGTGGAGTGGGGGAAAAGAATCAATATTAAAAGAACACTGGAACCACACTAAAAAACAGAGATATAAATCAACTTTTTGTTGTTTTTTTATTATATTAGATTTATTCAAAATAGTTTTAGAGAAGTGTTAAGCCACTGTAAACATTAATAAGTTTATTATAATTATGACTGCTGTCATTTATGTGGGTGAGACTTAACTCATACAATTCAACCTGCCAATTACGGAATTTGAAAGATGTTATATGCCCTTTTATATTAGCAATAATGATACTAAAAGAAAAGATTATACCACTAGTGATTAAATTTTTTCAAAGTACAAAACAGAAAAAATCCTGCAGAGAAAAACATGTCAAATATCTCTAATCTTAGTGAACATTTGCTTTCAAGGTGGCAACACAGACATTACAGGTAAAAAACAACTACCCTTTGAAGGTACTATAAATAATTTGCTCATACTATAGAAGTAGTTTGATAAGAAATAGAAAAGAAACTAAATATCCTGTTAAAATCTGATGGGAAGGCCAGAGGAAAATGGCATTAAACAGAGTTTTCTGAGCTTGAAAACAACCTATGCCAGCTCATTTTCATGAAATTCACATGGAATCAAAAGAGATAAATGAATGTACTTTGACTTACTGGACACACAGTAATGCTTTGCTCCCACTGACTCATGCTCAGACTTTCCTCCAGCGTTGTGCATTTCTTCATCACCATGTCCCAGCCACAGTAAGGGTCTTGGGATCCAATGCATGCACTGTGAATGAAAACCAGTCAGAAAACATGAACATTTATCTTCATATGTACTGGCCAAAGATCTTCAAACAACTATGTGGCATCTCTTCATATTTCATAGGCCTAAAACAGATAGTGAAATTTACCTGTTGTGGTATGGCACAGATGAAATGGCAAAACAGAAGAAAAATGAATTTCAATGCTTACACAAAGCTAGGATTTCTTTTAAGTGCATGTCTGACTGCATGCACATTTCTGGCTGCATGCACGGTATGTTGTCAAGACTGATTATTGTACTTAATTACCAGAGAATTACAGTAATTCATAGGAAGCATATGTTGTCTGCTCCAAATAAAGAATATTTCAGGAGTTACAGTTATTGGTCTTTTCTATCACTTTTGGAATTACAGTAATCATCTTTGTCAGAAATCAGATGACAATGTCTACTCTTTGAAAATTAATTAGAAAACCCTCTGATTTGTTTTCTGCACTGCTACAGAATCCCTGGAAGTAAGTTCAAACGGGTGCTGGTAGCTGTCATCACACCTCTTACATGTCACATGCTGCCCTAGACACTCCCTCCTAGTGGCACATGAGGAAGAAAAAAGGTCAGAGAGAAGGATGGTAGTCCAGCTTCCTACAGACTCTGAAAGACCCACTGTAGAAAACCAGAATTTCTTTTTCCCTATTAAATGGCAGTTTTCTCCTGCTACTGGTAGGTCAAGCATTAACAATCCAGGCAATAGGTCTGCAGCTTCATAGCTAAAGATACATGAGAAAGGAAGTGGAAGTCCTATCATAGTGAAGCATAATATAATTGTTTTAACACTTGTAAGTTACACATAAAAATAATAAATACAAATATTTTGTCTAGATTATAAAAAAAGCTAGACTGATCATTCTCATTCAACCCAAATCCATGGGCATTATCATTCTCTCTTTAGTTGTCTGTCCCCATCACATCTGTCCAGTGAAGGACCACCAAGATGATGAAGGAAGTGGAGAGGAGAGGTTGATAGAGCTGAGACTGTTCAGCCTGGAGAACAGAAGGCTCAGAGAGGATCTCATCAATATGTAAAAATACCTGAAGGGAGGGTGCAAAGAGGGAGCCAGGCTCTTTTCAATGGTGCCCAGTGACAGGACAAGAGGTGACAGGCACAAATTGAAACACAGGAAGTTTCATCTGAACATCAGGACACACTTTCTTACTGTGAGGGTGACTGAGCACTAGCACAGGTTACCCACAGAGATTCCGAAGTCTCCTTCCTTGGAGATATTTCAAAGCCATCTGGACATAGTCCTGGGCAACTGGCTCCAGGTGACTCTGCTTGAGCAGGAGGTTGGATCAGCTGACCTCCAGAGGTCCCTGCCAACCTCAAGCCTTCTGTGATTCTGTCCTCACAAATCCTGTGTTTTATTCATTTTATTCATATTTCTATGTATCTCTGGCATTCCTCATGTAGTTCCACACTAACATCAGACAAAAGGCAGATTTACTAATCCCCTAGTATGCTACTCCATGGTACCATCACAGAGGATCCTTATTGCTTATAAATTTCAAAGAATTAGTTTCTACAGTACACTTTGCAATGTGGATTGCCAGTACTATGTGGAAGGATAGTTCCCATCTGCAAATTGGGCACAGAGTAAGAGACATAATAGCCAAAACTCCCTAGACACCCCTAATTAGGCTGCTAGTTCAAAGCTAAAGCTTTTGGTTTAGGGGATTCAGTGTTCAGAAGAGAGTTCCCACTGATGGCTCTTGCAGCTGTGAGCACTTAGCATTTTTGTAACTCAGGCTGCACATGTTTCCATTTAACTATCTGGAAAGTGAGGAGGACGATTAATGCAAATTACAGAAAGTTTTAAGTGTCTTGGTCTTCCAGTGTTTGCAAGACACGTGTTCTCCTTGAGACTATCTCTGATAAAGCACATGTTTTATGGAAACAAAAAAACAAAAAAAAAAAACAAAAAAACAACAAAATTAAAAGCTGACATAATGTACAATTGCCAACATTAGCTGGGCTATTTCTCAAAGTAGAAACTTTCACTTTTCCAACTTCACTATTCCTTTATGTTAAGTGTTACTATTTTTAATGCAGTTATTATGCTTTAGACATTTTTTATTAAAAAATAAAATATTTTATAAGTCACTATCCTTTCACTTAGAACCACATACCCTCTTTCCTGGAAGTAAGCTGATCTTTCTCCCACTCCGCTCTTAGATCCCATTTCCTCTTTTGCTTTTGTTTCCACATTACTTTCCACTCAGGCAAATCAAAATGGCTTGCACCTTTCATTACAAGTCACTTAGAAGTTATAAGTAGGGTGCTAAAAGCATATTTTGACCATTCATATAACTTTCTGGTATCAGAACAGATCCTACTGTCATGGTAGAAATAAAGTTAAAAAAATGCTGAAAAGTCCTTGCACTGCTGGGACAAAGCATATTCATTCACTCTGTGGGCACTAAACATGGTCATTTCAGTAAGTGACCAGGTTTGGAGAGCACTGCAACAAGATAAAATAAGGTCAATCTTTTCAGAATTTAGTTAAGAAGGTCCAATGAGCACATGAAACTATGATTTTAAGAAGTCAATAACTCAGCTAACCTCATGTAGATGACAAGAGGCTAAATGTGAAGAACTTCCTCCAAAAATGAGAGACATTAACAGTCTTCAATATATTTTTTTTTCTTTGCACTACAATACATAAGTTAATCCTGGAAATATATGAACTATTCCAAACAAAGCAACAGGAAATTTTGTCTGAGAAGTATTCCTCACATGAGAAACTCTAGTTTTACTCTTTTTTTTTATGATGTTCTAATTAATTGTTCCAGTCATTATTACATCTAAGTCTCATTTTGTAAAAAGTTTAATTTTTGAAATTTTATATTCAGACAGAAGAATCATACCACAGAAGTGTAGTTCAGCATCATAACTCTCCTTCTGTTTCACCATGCCAGATATATTAATGAAATGAAGTAGGACCTGGCTTAAATAGTTGCCCTGTTCTCAGGTATTGGCACAACAGTCCTTTTCTGTTCTCCTCCCTGCCTCACTTCTCAGAGGGGTTTCTTATTTCTTTCTTTTAGATCACTTGCTTAGATGACCAATATCTCTGAAAAGTGGATATATTTTCTTTTAAATGAGAGGAAGAAGAGAGGTAATAGACCAATAAATTTTTTATCTGTATTTGCTTAATTATGTCACCTTTTAAAACCATTTTCTTTCCTTTGAGGGATAATTTCATGTGTGAATAACAGCAGTTAATTATTTTGATCTGCTATGCCTAGATTAGAAAAAAAAAACCCAGATAACAAAATAAGTTTACACATAGAAAATGAGGATAGAATAAAACTTACAAGTATGAAAATATCAGAACTTCTATCTGAAATGTGAAATTTCAAGGGACTAATATTAACTCACAATTATGTGTCCTTACTGTCCTCCGTCAATGAAAATTTCATATTGTTTTAACTCTTTTTTAATGAACCTCTCTCCCAAGAGACAGTAGTAAGAGGAACAGCTTCAGTGTATACATGAAATAACAAAATAAATTGTACAAAATGGATGTCAAATTCATGTAAGTAAGGAAAGTCGAAAATTAGATACTACCACCCACTCTTTCTTCTCCCAAATCTCTGTCTAAATTAAAGCCATTTTAGATGCTACTTTTGAAAAATTACATAAATTTTAAAATTAGTATTAGGTCTTTCGGTTGACAGGGCCCTTTCAGATAGTGACACTGGAAGTAGCAGAGCTGGATAATATATCAGCCATCTTGTCTCTGGAAGTCTACCTTACATATCAATTTCACCAGAGATGAAAAATAATGTTTTGTCTGTTACTCCCAGTAGGCACCAGCCTACATCTCTAAGACTTCATATGATTTGTCCCAGTACTGCTAAAACTGGCAATTTTATGCAGGAAGGAAATTCGGGAATAAAAAGTGAATAGGTTCATTCTAAAACTCTTGATGTCACTTACCCTGTCGAGTCAGTGCTCTCTACTAAAACATTAAACAGCTTTTGGCTTCCACTGATTGATTCTGATTTTCCTCTACGTTGTTGTTCCACATTTTTTACCAAATGTAAATGATAGGTAGTGGAGTATCTCTCTTGCAAGGCATTCATTTGGCTGCGATGGTTCGGTATGTCTACTGACAGTCATGCAACACTTAAACAATGGATTTTGACTGACTAGTAACAGAACCATAAGTCACCCTCCTCTAAAGCAAGCCAGCAATAGCAGGTCATTTTCTTCAGCTATTTTATAATTATCACCAAGCAGACTAGCAAAACTGCTCTACTTCTATTACATTTGAGATGATTTATTCAGACAGAAAATGAAGCAGAAATGAACACCATTCAGAGCAAAATATATAAAAAACCCCACACAGTTTTAGACTAAAAAGAATTCATTATGTGTGCTCCAAAGAACAAAAAAATTTAAGATTAAAAGCTATATCCTGATACGATTGATGTCAAAGACATTTTTAAATCTTCTTTCAGGGGAAGAATATATTCCCATATCAATATACATTGTAAGCACTAATCAGGTATCCTCTTGAGCTGTAACATTTTATTCAGAGAATGTATAAACATAAGAAGTGTATCTTCCAAGACTGCTCAATAAAATATTTTTCTGTCTTTTACTATACACAATATTTTGAAGAACAGAGAATATTTCAGTTTCCTGACCCTTGCGATCATTTCTACTGAGATAGCCATGCCTACCTAGTTCTAATTACTGTCAACTGTGATCTGGACACTTTGTAAACTGGGAACTGAACTGGGGTCACCACATCTTATTTCACAGAAGTGAGATTCCCCACTGCATATTTGAACAGACAAGTGAAGGTAAAAGCCTGTCTCATATTCCAAATGTACTGTGCTATCCATTTCTGAATGAATACATTAATCTGATACTAGACTTCCGTACAAAGATACCTTTCAGTGTTTTCATTACTACTGTTTTTGTAGATATATACATATATATGTGTGCAATGAAGAATGAG